TCCAGAAGCTCCAGTAGTTGTTCAGCAGCCAGAAGTACCAGTCGCCAAGGTTGTAGCCGAACCATTGCAAAAGGAGGAAGCGCAAACAACAACTCTCGCAGCACCTTTACCAACCATGCCAGCAGTTTCTTCGACAGAAGTTTTGGTACAAAATGAAAAAGCCAAGCCTGCTGCATTAGCTCAGCCTGTTTCGGCCAATGCCTTTGCGTCTGGCGCCCGCTCGAACGGTGCCAATGTCATGACGGGACGACCGACGAGTCGAGTCTTGGCGCCTCCAGGCGGTCATTGCTCCATTACCTTGGGATAAGTTTACTTCAGTATCGACGAATGATATTGACAATGTATGTCCTATCGCAGTCTTTATTCCGAATAAACTGCAAGGAAATGGCGGCTCGTTGCAGTAAAGTCGTTTGCAAAATATATGTTATGTAAAGCTTTAAAACAAAGAGAGACGTTCTATATGACCATAGTGCTCCTTTTCAAAAGCCCCAGTAGTCTTGAACAAAGCTTTCAGCCGCCTCTTTTTTGTTGTCGTCCTCAGTTTCATCTCGCGCCCCGTCGGTGTCCTTTGTTTTTGACATAGCTCCATGATCCGTCTTGATCGTTTGCTCGTCGCGGCAATCCAACAATGGCAATGTACTGGATTCCTGTAGAGAAGTACATGTGTGATCGCTTTCCTTGTCTCTACTTTTCGTCGCGTCGTGCACAAGTGGAGGCGTCGTCGGCATTGCCTGCAGTTGCGTGCGCGGAGGCGTCACCACGACGACTTGCCCGTTCGTTGCCGCCGCAAACGGATTCTTGCGTCGCGCCGCCACCGGAATAGTTCGCTTCTTGGAGTTATTGATGCAGTGGCTGCTGTTATTGCTATTCTCTTTGTGGCGCATGCGTCGGCGCTCGGCCAGTTGCAGCTGCAGCTTGCTGCATGGCGATAGGGTCGACGTTGAAGAATCGAGGTCAGGAATGTTGCTGCTGCTGCCCTCCGGCGAGACAGGAGACACGCTGGCTAACACCATGGCCGCTTGATGGCGTGCTGGAGTATGGTAAGGAGTTATCGGTAGCATGGCTTGCTGCTGCGGCTGGCGGAACGATTCTTTAGTTGAAACTGATGGAACCGCCTGCTTGATCTTTTTGGGCTTGTGGATCTGCCAAACCGTCCAGATGAAGACAAGCACAAGAGCAATGGCAGTGATTCCCGTAGCAACGAGTAGGTGATGCATGTCGTCCACTTCATCCTGTACCATGAGCTTGAGTCTGTGCAAGGCGTCGGTACTGTCGAATGCATGATGCGGATGCATCATGGTCACTGCTTCGTTTGGACTAACGTTGCCAACGATACATGAATCCTGCTGGCGATGCGCTCCTTCTTCTCCTTTCAGATCGTTCATGCTTGTAAACGCTTGTTCGATTCGAATAGCTTCGAGTTGCGCCTCCTCCAGCATTGTCAAGTAATCTTTCTTGGCATTCGACACGTCAATGTCGACGCGCACATGGCCCGTTCCAGTCTTCCACTGCAGAGTCGTCTGTTTGATTGACATTGGCAGTAGCAGTTCATCGCTGACTTGCAAGCGACAGTTGGAAACGTCGATCAAGGCTTGTTTGGCGGACAGCTGCTGAACGACAAAGACAGAGTTCAATCCGCAGGGAGTCAGCTGGCGGTTCGAGTAGCTGAAAATGGATGGTGCTGCGGCTGCGTCATGCATCATTGCCGGAGAATCGGAAGCAAAGTCAAGGTCGCAAAGCAATGGTGACTGTAGCAACGTCTTGGACCATTCTTCCTCGTCTTTGGACAAGGGTAGCATCAAGCGTTCGTCGTCGTTCTCATTGTCATTGGTCTTGTCAACGCAGTCTGTAAGAATGGCAAAGGTGCATCCTGAATTGATGGTACTCATACTTGAGATTCTCGGCAAATCTATGAAGACAATAAAGGAGTTTACTGCGACGAAAGAGACTGGAGCTGTGATTAGATACATCCATGGATCATAGTCGTCTTCATGCTCTGACGACGATCGAGCCAACATCGCGGCGTGACAAGCGTGACGAACGTCGCACTGGTTTCAAAAGTCGACGCGCGCCGCGCCATCACCTTTCTACGGATCCACAAGCCAACTCTTTTTCCATTACCATGACCTCCTACTCTAAAAATCATCAAGACTGCTTCGAGCTGGAAGTTGACTTGGTAACGGCACTGCTGGAGCGAAATCGATGCAGCCATGGACGCACTAAGTACTTCCAACGCCTCTCCATGGCGCATCGATGCATTCGACGTTACGCGCTGCTGGAACTCTATAGCAACGTTCAGACCCTTGAAGCGGAGCTAGTCGAGTTGAAGCTAGCAGAGCAAAAGAGGAGGAAGCGAGAACAAGTCTTCTGGGAGATTGCTTTGTCAGGGGAGGATGCCAAACGAGCCGATGCACAACATGTTGACGTTCGAAATCGACTGCAAACAATCGGATTGCAAACATTCAAACACATTCCTGAAATCATCTCTCGTCTCGAATATTCCGCCAAGGCAATCTTTGCCGAGATTGCGCGGGGGTTCTTTCTGCCGTTCAACTCTGTGGCGGTGGCGGCCGCTGCTCGCATTCGCACCCTGTCACTCCGACTGGCAATTCAAACGCTGCAGTCCATGCCGACGCTTCAATCCAACTATATCAGTGTTTGCAACAAGGAATTACTATGGACGCCGCAGCAGCTTCAAGAATCGCTGGCAGTGTTTCATGCCATGTCAGCGACGTTTGCAGAAGAAACTCCGTCCAAGGAGGCAATGTTAAATCGATCCTTGATGCAGTTGGGCAGCGATTTACCTGGGTTGACAAAAGGGGACGTACTTAATACGGAACAAAGTTCTTTAGTGGCAATAATGACGGAAGAGGGGCCAGTTGCTGTGGATGAGACCGAAACTACAGTCGTTGAGCTCAACTCTGCTGTCCTATCTGGCAGCAGCACACCCGACGATGACCTTGGGGAGCAACTTGCACTCGATGATGATGTTTTAGCAACGTCAACAGACACTCTTCGGTCTAATGGAAGTAAAGACCAGTCGCAAAGTCGACATGAAATGGATGGAAACCACGAGCTGGTACAAAAAGTTGCTCGCAAGAAGAAGGATAAGAAACGAAAGAGCAAGGTAAAAGATGGAAAGAGTGGCAATACTGACAGTGAAGCGCGGCAAGGAAAGAAGGTTAAAAAGACCAGTACCAGAGGCGACTTTTTCGATGAGCTATTTGGATAGTGAGTCAAACTCGACTGATAACATAGGATTTTTCTAGAGTTGTTGATTCGCAATATATCTTCTTTTGGTCAAACGTCTTCGCCTGGAACACCCTTGGTGCGACGGACTGGTCGATCAATTTGAATTGTATCGCTGTGGGTATTGTGCATCGCAAAAAACGGCCGAGGCAAGTTTTCGCAAAATGTCCGCATCTTTAGTTTGGCGTCCTGCATCGATTCGGCTATAAAATACACTGGTTGGTACGTTGTGATTGGAAATTGCTGTGTCGACGCCACCTCTGGATCCCATGGCTTGATAGCGGGCGGCTTGTCCGCGCCGGGATGCTCGGGCGAGCAGGCATACGCAAGCTCACCAAAGGATGATAGCAACCCAGCTCCATATGCCTTGTGCTCGTTTCCTTCCTTGCATAGGCCGAATTCGACAGAGTGCCAATAGCAGTGAGCAAGTTTAGCAACGTCCTCATCCGATGCACCGAGCGATGCAAGTCCGATCTCTTGTGAAAAGTCTGCAAAGTCGCGATCAAGAAACATGGGTGCATGTCCAAGCAACTCATGACAAATATCAGGTTCTGGAGTGTAGAGCGGCTTGGAGTGATGCCGAATGTATTGCGTCGAGAAAAATACTCGAAAGGCCAACCCATTCAAAAAGTCTCGCGATGAAAGCAGTCCAGCAACGGGTCGCATGCGAAAGCCTGTCCGGTCCATCAGGAATTCGGAAATATCTTGCTGCTGAGGAATGTTAGTGCGATCGTAACCGCAGTTTTCTCGCATGAGTTCCAGTGAATGCAAGTATTCCTTGCATGCATACTTGCTCCACAAGCCATCCAACTTGTCCCAAACGGCTGACCAAACAAGAATTTCGTCCGAAGTATAATCGATTCGGGGAATTGGCGCGTCATACGTATGTTGTAAGGCACTCTCGGTCAGCATGGCACGACGCTGGCGATACTCCAAGTCGTGAAAGCCTGGATGGTCGCTTTCCAGATCCGTTCCAGCGTCCAATGTTCGATTCGCGACTAGATCAAGCTCGGAAATGTGGCGAGGAAACCAATGGACATTCTTCTCGTCCAGGACAAGCAACTTTGTACATTCTTGGTTCAAAGCGGCCATGAGTTTGCTGTACATAGGAATTGAAACATTGAATGAGACTTGTTAGATTGACACGTCTTACTAAATGCCACTCATGCGTACCTGACATGATCATCATCCAGCGATCCCTCAAAGTCAACAAAAAAGTCGAATCGCTTGTCACTTCCTCGTCCTTTCGATGGACGCGACTCGATGCGGCAGACGTTCACGTCGTACTTCCAAAAGAATCGCAAAATGTCATGAAGCACCCCGACGCGGTCTTTAAGTTCCATCAGCACTGAGGTTCGTGGATTCTCACCGTACGCTACATCCGAGTCACTATGCATCATCTTGGCTTGCGTAGACTTGAAGCAGCTTGCCTTGACGTGTTTCGAAATAATGGTGTTGTCAACGTGATGTACAGTCGAAACGAACCGAACCTGACGGAAAACACCTCCAGATGTTGCTCGTTTCATAAAGCGACTTCTTTGCCAAGATCGAGTGAGCATGTTAAAGAGCATGCTGATGATTAGTTTGTCTCTCTTATAAGTTCTTTGATTTCCGCCAGATTCTTGATGCTCCGTCTTGTTCTGTTTGTGATGTTCGCGATCATGAATTGGCGATGTCATGCCGAATGCCATGCCCCTGCCACAGCGTTTATGACCAGGAAGACCGACACCCGATTGTACACGATTGAACACGACTGGGTGGCCGAGTGGTCTAAGGCGCAACGTTAAGGCCGTTGTCTTTGGGCGCGGGTTCGAATCCCGTCCCAGTCACTTTTTGGTTTTGCATGCCCTAGCATTGCAATGATGCGTTCAGCAGCGCACCTCATCAACGTTGTAATGATGCGTTCAGCAGCGCACCTCATCAACGTTTCACGACAACGCATGTATGATATGGCCTTCGTAGTTACGCAGAGAGGGCACTTATTGCTTAACTATTTTCCATATCTTATATATACTAATTAGGCTGTGTTTTTTGCAACCTCGGAGTCGCTTTTTAATAGCTCACATTTCCCACCAATTTATGCAGAACTTCAAAATGGTTGCTCGTTGGCTCTCCGTAAAAGGCAGTGCATTAAAGACTTGTGCGTCTTGTGAAGGATTCGCCGCCGATACTTGACCAGGAATGTGAAGCCTGTTGAGCGAAGTCGCACCAACCCTCGAGTTGCAACGAGATACGCCTCTCTTTGGAGGCGCTCGTGACAGCTGCCCCATATCGACGGTTCGAAATGATCGCAAGGGGATCCGTGGAGCAGTGTCGCAATTTGGTTCGAATCTTGTACGTCGGGGAAGTCGCGGGGCGCAGTCTGTCGTCGACTCGTCCATTTGCTCGTGCTGTCGCGAGGTGAACACGGAAGAGTACATGGCAGCTGGCGGAATAGTTTTGACCTGGAACATGGTATATGAATGAGATGCCGGCTTAAACTACAGAAGTTAAACACACAGATGCTTGGTGTTTGGGCACTTTGACGGGGAGCAGCACCGTTTCGATGTTTGTTCCAATCGGAATCCGATTCATCTGACTCACCGCATGCGATGTCAGCGTGTGACGTGGACAATCTGTACACTAAAGGGTACACTCCAGAATTCGCACTCCTCAGAAACCACGCTGCATTGTTCGATTTTACTATTGCCAGCTGGAGCCCCATCAATAGCCCCGTGCGGTCTGACACCGCCATGGCAGACGCGAAAGATTGCAATGCAGCTAATACCGTATAGCACACCGGTACCATTGCTAGGATCTTAAATCAATGCTCTTAGATAAATCATGATCAAGATAAAAAGATGCCTGACATCCAGCTGCCAATACACAGCTTCGATCCATAGTTATAATGACGACTACGGTATGTGCAAAGTGCAAAGTGCACGCCAACACGCAAATGGAACTCAACTTCGGAAGGATATTCCACAGCGAATGCCTCCAAAGCTGAAAGTATTTTGCCTTTTAGCGTTCTCATGTCAAAGAAATAGTCTCTGCGTGCTCAACGGACGCTCACACATGGGGCTGCGCCATCGTGACAATGCGCAATGCACATAGCGTGACGGATTCCTTTGGAGCGGCTGTATGACGCGTCCCTACTAGCTTGATCAGATGAGCTCATCTTTTTCGTTCACTTGATACATTCAACGTTTACACTGTCTATAGTGCCTCTCATCCCATCCCCTGCGTTGTAAAGTGGACCAAAACGCGGAACGGGCGATTGAATCGTGCAAAGCAAAGTCATAGCGTGACTCGCGGTCACAGTCACAGATCGCCTCTCTCGCAAGATCCGTCGATCGCACCGCTCGGACCGTCACAATGGTCTTGGACGCGCACAGCATTACTATCGACACCATGACGATTCCAGATGCTGCATGCGACCCACTCCGGGATTTGCTGAAGGATGTGCTGAGTCGACTTGCCACGTTGGAAACCAAAGTTGGTCTTCCACCGCCTCCGCCGTCAACGACGACGAGCGTCAAGCCGAGCGAGTCGACAGCGTCAAACAAGCCGGCGCCCGTCCGGGCGCTGTCCATTCGGAGCTGTACGTTTGATAAAGTGGTGTTGTAGTATATCTGACAAGGAACTCAAATCATTTGATAATCCATTTCTCGTTACGATTTCACAGTAAAGGAAGCAGGCGATGACCCTTCCGTCAAGGCCTACGATGACTTTTGTAAGGAAGCCGTTGTCAATTTTGCCGATGCCTGCGACGATCTCAAGGGGCTCGAAAGCATGGGCAGTTTCGTCGTTGCGGCCTTTGATGGACTTCGCTCCATTATCACCTTGGCAAGCAAATCAAAGAAGCCAGAGGAAGATTTGCCGGCTGCCTTTGCGCCGTTGATGCAGCCGACGCTGGATGCGCTCAAGAAAATTCGCGACTTGAAACTAGATCGAGCATTTGATCCTCATCAAAAGGCTGTTAGTGAAGCTCTTGGCTGTGTTTCTTGGGTCGCTGCGCCCATGCGTCCGGCAACGTTGGTTCGCGACACGTTTGGGAGTGCCGAGTATTGGACGAACCGCATTCGCAAAGACTTTCGAGGCAAGGATGAAAAGCAGATTGAGTTTTGCGATGCTCTCAAGAAGATGATTGATGGACTCATTGCATACATTGACGATTATCACAAGACTGGTCTCACGTTCAATCCCAAGGGATTGAGCTTCAAGGAAACGTTGATTCGCATGAGCGACGAGCCTGACGATGAAGATCAGTACCCCAAGACTCCAACATCGAAACGCCCAACTCTTGGTGTGACGGCAACTCCCAATATGGCTGGCCTAATTGGCGAGCTGTCGAAGAAACGAACAGAGGATGGAAATTCTGCTGCGACTGGATTGAAGCATGTAAGTATTGTGCACACTTGAGCAAGTGCGTACGGTACACGGACGAATGAACGTGCACTCACGCAAGCGCTATAACTTTGCATCACCTATAGGTCTCCAAAGACATGCAGACTTGGCGGAAGGAATTTAAAAAGGAAGGCGACGAGGCTTCAGCAGCTGCTCCAAAACCAGTTGCACCGCAGAAGATTCCGCAGAAGAAAAAGCCACTGAAAGGGCTTCCTGTCTTTGAATATCAGGATCGGGGCTTCAAATGGGTCATTGAAAATCACACTAGTGAATCAGTGCTGCGAGAGTCTCACGAGAATGGTGTCTTGACAATCAACATTGTTGATCCAAAGCAGCAAGTTTACTTGTACAACTGCGACGGTGTGACGGTCAAGGTTACCGGCAAGTTCAAGTCACTAGCTCTAGACCAATGCACAAAGTGTAGCGTTTTCTACGATGACTTGATCTCGTCGACAGAGGTAGTGAATTGTCAGAGAATTCAACTACAAGTTAATGGAATTTCTCCAGTCTTTACTATTGACAAGACTACTAACATTACAGTCTACCTCATGAGCAAGGAAGTTCTCGATCTGGCCGTTTTTACTACAAGTCTCAGCTCGGAAATGAATGTCAGCTTTCCGGATGGCGATGATCAGAAGGAAGTTGCAATTCCCGAGCAATTTGTCCACAAAATTGTTGCAGGCCGCATAAAGAGCGAAGTTTCAGACCTCTATCATTAGTTCTAATGTCAGTACATGTGAATTATAACTTTCTTTAACGCAGTATCGTGCTCATTTGCTAATTGTGCATCGCTTTAATGCGGTGAAATCTGCTGTCATGAAAAACGTTCCTGTAGCGTTCATTACGTCTACAATGTTCAGCTGGCATAGTTGGACGCGGATCGTCTTACTGTTCCAGTGAAAGGTGAAGTGTCAGATCGGCGAGCATTGGGGCTCTGGTTGGATGGCGGTATAGAAAGGTGCAAGTTTTGTGTGCGCATCGAGGCCACGGCTCGGTACATGCGCGTCTTGCCGACCAAGGACGTGGCGGCTCGATTCATTTCCGTTTCTGTGACCATGCTTACTCGACAGACGGGGCAATCATCGTGCTTTTGTAACCATTCCAATATGCACTCCTACATAGTGGCAATGAAATCTGGTTAACGACACACGCATATTTCGTTAACGTAGCGGAGCAACGAAAGGACACTCATTCACTCACCTTGTGAAAAACATGTGAGCAGTGCTTGGACATGATCAAAATGTTACCCATGACGTATCCGCCCAAGCAAATGGGGCTGAGACATTGAAGAAAAAGAGCACGTTAGTTGCCGCTCAGAAACAAACGGGCCACAGTCTGCACGTTCACTCACCAAATGTTATCGCCCGTTGTGCAACTGTCATCGTCGTACGTGTATTCGGATGTTTGCGTTGTAAATGATTCTCGTCGTAGCAATGGAGCATTAGCAAACAGAGCGCTCTCGGTAGCTTCTGTTTGATAATTATTCAATGAATTGCTATCAGTTATGACTGCATCATCATTCTCTTCAACGACTTCGTCTATAGTCCCTGCAGGTTCATTTGCTGCGTCGGGAGCTTGTGCATAACGGGAGCGTCTATTGCTTAAATCCGGTAACGTTAGAAGGACTGAAGATTGTTCAGGATTATCCCACGAATCCATCGACTCGCAGCGCTCCGGAATGGGAGCTTCTTGTGGAGACTCGACCTTGTATCCAGCACCAATAGCAGTAGCGCTTTCCAAAAGTTGAGCAGTAACGTCAGTTTCAGTTTCGTGTTTCACAGCAGATTTGATCGGACTCTGTGACAAGTGCTTCCCGGATTGATCCGATTTTGATGACGGCGAACCCTCCGCATTAAAGCTTCGAGCGCGAATAAACTCTCGATCAATGTGTCCATCGTCAGCGTCGCTATAGTCGGATTCAAAATCGTCCATGTCGGTGCTTAGTCGGAACTGGACGTCAGGGTAGGAGTCAATATTTTCAACGTCCAGCTCGTCGGGATGTGCAATCAAGCTTTCATTCTTTGCAATCTCTGGTATCTCCACGTCGACTGGAAAATCATCCTCATCCTCTTCTTCCTTCTCTACGTCAACATGCTCATCATCGGAAGCAGATTCCTTTCCAAAACCTCGTTGTCGTCGTTTCCTTCTTCCTTTTGGCGATACATCAAGATCCGTCGCTGGCTTGCTATTATCGGCGTAGATTGTTTCAAGAACGGCGCGCCGCTGATCCTCCGTCAAGTTGAACACCCTTCCATCGTGGACAATGACTGTGCCGGTTGTTGCTTGAGGCGCAATCGGTTCGCGCCCAAAGAGTTTGCGGCAGTAGCTAATGAGGCATTGGTATACGCAAATGAGATAAAATAAGACAATCAGAGCGACAATGACTCCAATGAACCAAGTCGACGACAAGTCTGGACTCGACTCGAGGTCTCGCGATGTAGAA